TGAATAGCAGACACAAGCACAATATGTCTTCTTTAAGCTACGTTTTTTCAGAAGGCAGAAAATAAAGCTGGATTGAAACTTGTGATGCGTTAATCTTTATTCTCTGAACTGTGTGTCTCAAACTTTCCCAAGTGATAATCACATTTCATCTTAAATGATCTGAACATGACTCATACTGAATTTTTTACCATATGTTCTGTCAAATATGCATTATTTTCAGCTTATTTTGAGCAGCTTGTTATTGTGCAACATGAGGAATCAGAACTCCAAATCTCTTCCCACTCCAAACCCCTCAGTAAAAATAACACTGGTCACTGAAACATAGCGCCCATGCACACGAGTGACGCATGTGCCCGTTCCACTGGCTGCCTGTTCCTCTGGTGCTCTCTCCATTAGGGGCCTGTCGGTAGTGCTTGCTGCTGCTATAGATCGACATGTCAAAACAGCTCCCAAACCTGTCACTCCCCTCCCCCCTGCTGGTGCAAGGCCCTGTGGAAACCATTATATGTTCCTCTGGTCAAGTGATTAGTCCATTTTTCTTGGTGGAGCACTATACTATATTGCAAATTAGGGCTGCACAATTTTTGGAAAAAAATAATTACAATTGCGATAAGATTTGCAGTGTTTAATGAGTGTGAAAGTACACTTTTGTGATTTGATTGTGATGTACTGTGCAATTGCAGATGTCAGTACTGCAGTATTGTGTGAAATGCATGCATATTTACTTATCACATCTATCTGTGACAACTTGTGACAACAATGTACAGTTAACATCAGTGGGGCAGGAGTGGATTTATTTGTATAGCACTTTTCAAAATATTCATTACAAAGTGCTTTCCAGTAGCAGAAGGATCAAATTGCTGGAAACAGAATATGTTGTTAAAAAAAAAAAAAAAAGCCTAGTTCAGTCTTTTAGTGACTACGGTTGTGTATGAAAAAAGACCGTGATCCAAACATTGACCAGTACATTGATATATTGCTGTCTTTAATTCATCCTTTTACAGTACCAAATATTATTTTATCTGACAGGACCTACATATGTGAAAACTCGTAGATCAACAAAAACAGACCATGTGTGACAGTAGATTTAGCTAACACTATTTTCCATTTTCACTCCCAGGGCCAGTGGTTAACACAATAAAATAAATTCAGACAGGCAAGTGCATCTGTATACCACTGCAATAGCACAACCGCACAACAAACATGCATTCATACACCATTGTGCTGTTTATTTATTTTCCTCCCTGCCTCCTTTGTAGGGCTATGCATTGTGTGGGTTAAGGCTAGCGTGAAATGGCTAAGTGTATGATGTATGTAGTACACATCTCAAGGCTGTGGCCATTTATAGGCTGTTGTCAAATGTGCGACTTGTGGCTGCTCATTTGTCAGATTGACTTAAGAGGCCATGATAGTCTCACCCTTGAGACATCGTTTGGCGCCTTATCACTGGGATTGGAAAGAGGCTTGTCACAGCACACTTTACCAGTGACGGCCAGATATGACTGAATGAAGATGGGAATAACAATGATATGGGGCCTGGTTGTTTCTATGGTAAGAAGATGAAACATGGGATTTAAAAAAAAATTAATAATGGAAAAAAAATGTTTATTTCTCAGTAAATATGCCATTTAGCAGTTGAATTATGCATGAAGACCTTCCCAGTATACCTTATTATACCTATAAGTGACACTGCTCATTGTTTATTTAGGCCATACCTCAATCGATTTCTCTACCTCTGCCATACATAATATTAATATTACAATTTCAAATATGATTTAAATAACCATGTAATAGTTCATGGATGTAATCATATTAAATAAAAGTTTATTTCATTTTTTTTTTTTTTTTTAATGTAATGAATATATAAACATCTAAATAGACGTGACATTTTCTTGAGTGTAGCACTTTACCGACCAGGCTTACAATATTCCCACACCCTGCATTAGGATTCTCGGGGAGAGCACTGAGCTTTTTTCCATCTTCATCTTCAAAGTTTTGACAGGCTGACTGCAGTCGTACAAGTGGATGTTTTAAAGATGAGATGGCTATCGGCAGGCCTTGAGATATGAAACCAATAACCCTGCATCAAGGCCTAGCCATTTGCATTTGGCCCCATGCTGCAGGTTAAACCGACCTGGGACTGCTCCAGAATGGACACTGCAGAGAAATCATGAATATTTAATATATTACACTTATATTGGCTCATGGTACTCTCCAGGGATTTAAAACCCCATTGATCAACATAGTATCTGAATATTAAATGTCATGAGATATTGTAAAAATGCATTGCAAGAAATTGTGGATTATTGCACTTGCACATATCATAAAGTTATGACTATCTGCTACAGTTTTATATCCAAGGAAGTGGAGGCCAAGAAGCTGCTGCCATTTTGACTGGAATTTGGATCACAGATAAGCACCACAACACTGTTTATTTGACTGGTTATGATTTGTAATGATTAAGTCATGAATTGCTGCTGGTCAGACCCACTGTGTCAGAGTTATCTTGCTTGCTGAAATCATCAACTTTGAGTAGTCCTATGTATTTGTTTCCTGATTTAACAGCTAAGAGTAGTGTCCTAGATCAATGAATTCACCCATACCTATCGCATAATGTTTTGCATATACCATGTATTTCTTAACAATGCATTTTTTAGCAATGTATTTTTTGACAGTGCATTTTTATGACCTAAGATAGGAGTAATTATTATTCTGGGTGTCTTTGTTCATGCTTAACGATAAACATTTGAATTTTAAAAAGTCCAGTGCATTCATTTGGACATCTTACTGCCACAAATATAAATGCCTTAGATGATTTCTTGATTAAAACACAAAGTATAAATAATATATGATAAATAAACTGTTCAAATTAAATGAACAGCAATGGTTACTTTTCTGCTTACTACTACCACTACTACTGCTACTGCTGCACTACTTTTACTATCCACTACACCTATTATAATAGATCCACTGACGATGCCATCTGCGCTGCACTGCACGCTGCTCTGATGCACCTGGAAACTCCCAACAGTTATGTCAGGATGCTATTTGTGGATTACAGCTCTGCATTCAACTCTATCAGCCCAACCAAACTGTTTAATAAACTGCTCACTCTTGGCCTCTCACCCCTCTTGTGTCTCTGGATAAAGAACTTCCTGACTAACAGACACCAGCACGTCAGAATTGACCAGCATTTGTCCTCCACCATCACTGTGAGTACAGGTCTGCCTCAGGGCTGTGTCCTGAGCCCAGCTCTCTACTCCCTCTTCACATATGACTGCATAGCACACCATAATTCCAACACTGTCATCAAATTTGCTGATGACACAACCATTGTGGGGCTCATAACAAACAGTGATGAAGCTGCTTACAGGGAGGAGGTCCTGACACTGATCTCCTGGTGCAAAGACAACGACCTGCACTTAAATACAAAGAAAACTAAAGAAATTATAATTGATTTTAGGAAAAACAAATGCATTCCCCATCACATTGGCCTCTGCATCAATGGAGAAGAGGTAGAGAGGGTCTCCAACTTTAAGTTCCTGGGTGTGGAGATCAGTGAGGATCTGACCTGGAGCCTAAACACCATCAGCGTTATAAAGCGTGCCCAGCGGAGACTGTTTTTTCTACGAACACTCCACCAGAACGGGCTCTCCCAGAAGCTCCTAATCAACTTTTACCGGTGCACCATCGAAAGTGTTCTGACGTACTGCTGTACATCAAGGTACGGAGCCTGCACAGCTGCTGAAAAGAAGGACCTGCAGCGAGTGGTGAGAACAGCTGAAAAGGTGGTGGGCTCCTCACTCCTGAACCTGGCCACCATCTACTATTCACCACACATGGGCCTCCAACATTTTGCAGGACCCCACACACCCCGGGAACTGCCTCTTCCACACTCTCCCCTCAGGAAGACTTCAAACTCCCCTCACACGCACAAACAGGCTGCGCAACAGCTTCTATCCACGAGCAGTGTACGTGCTCCAGGGGCACAGGCACAGATAAAAGGCCTGAAGGGACTCAGCGCAATAATCTATTTATTTTATTTATTAAATGTTTTTTATTGGTATGGATGTGAGGATGCGTGTATATTTGTTAATTTTTACTCCTACAGATCTGCTCTGTTGAAGTTTCATTGTATTTCATACAATGACAATAAATAAATCTAATCTAATCTAATTACAATTACAATCAAACATGACTTAATGTGTAATGATATTATTATCAATACACACAATGTTTAATTTTCCTTCAAGGTATGTAGTTATTTGTATGCCTCCAGTGTTCATGATCTCAAATCCAGCTTTTCTCTCAAATGTGAAGATGTGTGAGCGGGTTTAAGTCTATGCTGTCCTCTCACAGCAGCTGCAGCACAGCTTCTTCCTGGGGGGACATATTGAAGGATTTCAGGGTGATGCCTTGGGCTGCCCCTCAGACCACAGAGACCTGCCATAGTCACTGAGAGCCCACCAGTGCCAGCGCTTATGTTAGCCACACTGCTCTGTCAAAGTCTTTTACTCATCCTTGCTCCTACTAGTGTCTTTGTGTCTATGCACAGTCATCACTCCAAATATAGACATGTTCATCTGTAGCTTTTTATAGGGGTGGACAACATGACAAAAATCACAGTTCTCTTAGGATCTCTCTATCCTACATTAAAGGGTAACAAAACCTAGCTGCTGCTTCTGAAAGGCCACACTTCACTGTGATTGGTTAAATCCACCTGTTAGTTACCTGTGGATGTGGTACATGGACATCCTCTCTTTTCCTGTATGTCTAAAAGTTTCATGCATTTATAGCCTGGTACAGATGTAAACACCAGGAAGAATAGCAACTGTTTTTTTCAATAGCTAATGGGGATCTAAATAAAAACAAACAAGCAAGCACTGCTGCTATTTCAAACAAAATCACAATCTTTTACACTTTGATTCTGTATGTGGATTCTAAATGAAAAGGTTGAGTATACAATAGCTCATTGTTATATGTTTTGATGTCCTCTCCAGGCCCTTGCCACCCAAACCCATGCCACAACAGGGGCACGTGTGAGGTGAGTGAGTCCTATCGGGGAGACACCTTCATTGGGTACATCTGCAAGTGCCCGCCTGGCTTCAGTGGAGTCCACTGCCAGCACAGTAAGTAACTGTACACGTCTGTATGTGGGGTTTCAATAATAACAAAGTCATACAGAACATGTCTTAGATAATTTTATCATAATGGGTCTATCATCTCTTTAATAATAACTCTTTAATATATAGAGAATAATTTGTAATACGGTAACTTTTTGACACATCTGAAAGGTGAGCTGGATATTGTGTTGGGGAGCAATCCATTTTGTCTCAGTCTAAATAGTAAGAGTGTAAAACCTATGCTAAAAATTAATCACATTAATATAGATTGCATGGGATGCTTGGATACATTTCGATCATACAGTTAAGTACAGTTTTGTGAATCATCAGTCAGAAACATAACCAAGGAATTGTCTTCAGACTTTTTTTTTTTTTTTTTTTTTTTTTTTTTTTTTTGCCATGTTATAAAATCCTCTTTTGATTCATAACTTATTCATTTTTTTTTTAAACATTGAATTACCTTTTTAGCAGCAGTCTTATTACATAGGCCTTGATGTTATATTTCACATTATGGCAAATATGAACACTTTACTTAGTGTCACATTTTAAGACATTTTATTTGTACAAAGATTTCAGCACACACATAATGACCTTGAGGAGTGAGTAAATGTGTGTTACAAGGACAAGTTCCACAGAAGCATTGTGTGGCTGCAGGAGAGAAAAGAACTGCTGAAGAGGCTTTCTACATCTGACCGTGTACTTAATAAAAGTTGGTGTCAGAAGGTTTTGGCTGCATGAGATATTAGTTTTACCCTGGATTTGAAGCATTGTTCTTTGCTATTATTACAATCGTGATGAAATACAGCACATATAGGCGGAGAAAAATTGCACAGGAGTTATTCTTTTTTTTTTTTACAAATTAGCATGACAGCGCTGTGGGTTTAATTTGCTCTCTTGTGTTAGGAAACTGGAGATGTGACAAAAGAGTTTCAGCGCAAATAAAAAGAAGGTGTGAAAATGGAGCAGCATGATTCCAAACAGTTTTACTTTGGGAAGACAGCAGCTGAAGATGGGTCTTTTTGGAATTACAATGAATCATAGAGGGGTTGTCATGGTGCAATTACAACAATGTGGCATTAGCTGTCTGCTCTGACTTTCTGTTTTCTGGAAATTAAAGAGCACTCTTGCACTATTTTTTGATCTATGTTGTAATGTTGTTTCATCATCACAAACATACCTGGAGTTGTGAGTGTTTTGTTTCATTCACACATGTTTAACACACAAACCTTGCATATTTAGGCTAGTGTTGTTGTTTTTTTCTCTCTCAAACAGAAAACACTCTGTTCCACCTTGCGGTGACATCCAGCACTGGATTTTCCAATGTCTACTAAACAAAAGTTAAAGAAATGACATCATAAGGTGGAACAGAGCATTTTGAGCTACTAAACGGACTAATAAAGGGTTACTCAAACATGTGTGTATGAAACAAGACACAACTCCAGGTATGTTTTTGATGAGGTAGCAGGATTCTAACAAAGCTTAAAGCTCACAAGACTAAATTTTGCATAATATAGAACCTTTAAACTGGCTCAATTTATGTGACTTGTGTCTAAAAAGTTCACACATTCTAAACATTTGAGAGAAGACTGAAACATGAACTGATAAACCAATATAAGATTCCCACACATTTCATAAGATGATCTAATTTACAGGTGCAACAAGATTTTTCTTTTCTTTTTTTTCAAATCAGTTCTAACATATAGTGATACCCTACTGGAAATAAAAGCTCAGGAAGGATGTCTATATATGTCACATTTTAGCACCGGCTCATCACAGCAAGAAGGAGAGCAAAATGTTTTTTCTGGCACCTTTTATGATAACATGGAAGCTTGGTAACGAAGAAGTATATGTCCAGGAAGAATGATGCTAGTTTGAGTTGCCAGATAAAAAAAGGTCTCGAATAAAAGTCATGACATGACAAAAGACATGACATGGCCAGTTATGAGAAGGGCCACACACACAGCAACATTTTAGACAAAGCAAAAACAACTCACTTCTTGCAGTGTTGTCATCTTTCAGAAACTTAAACCTTTTTGTGGGTCAGCTTTTATGGACAACAGCTCAGCAATCTCCTCAGTACAAACACACTTCATAAACCCAGTACATGGTGCATTTCCAGCTTGTATCCTCATCCTAGGATTGGGTTGGTTTGTTTGTAAGTATGAGTCTTTTACTTCCCACTGGGTGAGATATAGGCTGGGTCGTTTTAAGGCTGAGTCTAAGCAGTGTTTTCCTGCTTTCCAGCACACTGTCCATCATCACGGATATGCTTGTAGGTAATAGTTTTAATGTATTGTATTGCACAGGCTCTGACCCTTATTGATCTTAGACAGAGAGGACAGGTGTGTTGGGAAAAATGTAATGTAAGGCATGAACTAAATGGATAAAAACATTAAGATAAGAACTGTAAAATGGTGAGTCGTGGTCATGGTTATATTAGTTGCTTGTGCATGTAAATAAGCAGTATTTTCTACAGGGTTGTCATGGAAAATATCAAAAGAGGAAACACACAATTCTGTTACTATGAAGAGTGTTTTGCGTTAGTACCAGTTCATCAACCACATGATGTCAAAGTCTAGTTAAATGTCAGTGTGGAGTTCATAAACCCTTTTTTTAAGTAGAAGTTTCTAATTGGCATATATTGACAACTATATCTCTTCTTTCAAAATGGTGCTGATGTTGAAGCCATGAAATAAACAATGTATATACTTTTATACTTTCACCATTCATTTGTTTGTAATAGCAACAGGTAAATCATGCATGTATTGTGTGTTGGTAAGAGCATGCTAGGAAGGATAGATCAAATACTGGTCAGATTTCTCTCTAGGGACAATGAAGTCTAGACCATTGTTGGTCTACATACAGCTTTGTGAGCGTTCATTATTTATGTCATAATTAAGTCATTTCAATTGTTTCCTATTACACCCTGAGGGGACTGAGAAACTGATTCAATATGGTACGCATATACATTACCACTGCCAATTTCCCTCATGGTCATTACATCTGAATGCGAGCGAGTATTTCAAAGTTGTGCATATGAAGGTATTTATAATCAAATCTGCAAATTGATGATTGGGGCTCATAAATAAACATGTGTACAAAGGCAGCTTGACATTGCTCTATTATAGTTTGTAATAAACGACATGCCTATATAATAATTAACTGGGGGAAATGACATGAGACTAAAATGCATGTGTTCTCTGGGCTAATTTTTATTTTGTAATGATGAAGATTCACTAATACAGTTGGCTGTTTTGTAACACTGTGCAATTACTGTTTGTCTGTTTATCACAATGGTGAAGGGTGTACTAAAAGATCACATTCATGATGGCATTCCTGCTGAGGGGTGTGACCTGCCTTGTGGAGTCTGAAAAGCTGAAAGTGTAACTACTGCAGGGGTACTGAAAATAGTGCAGCCAAACAGTGATTTGAAGATTTATACTTCTGGGGGGGAAAAAAATAAAAATAATAAATAAATAAATAAATAACTACTACTACTACTACTACTACTACTAATGATAATAATAATAATAATAATAATAATAATAATAATAGTCTTTCTCTCCAGCTTCACTTGTCTGCCAATAACACACAACCCTATTACAGTTGTTATAAAGAACATCATATGCATTACCACACATTAAAGTATAAGTTTAGAAGACTTGAGCTGGTGCAGTTATTATGTACACATGTCCTTATCCATCATCCATAAACAAGCTAGCTTTTGGATCTATATAAATGCATATTCAGTTTTCAATGGAAATGTCATTGTTTTGCCTGGAATGTTCCACAATATGACATTAAACAGCTTAATCTTACATTTATTAAATTACAGGTGGTGTTATATCTGGAAAATACCTAGACAAACAGGCATTCTGACTGTGAATGGGCTTACCTCTGCACAGATCTGCTCTTTAACTCGGCCTGGTTATTTTACTTGATAAAGTAAATGTATCTGTCACTTGTTCTTGAAAAGACTCAAGTATTCAAAACTATCTCTGTGGAAGATGAAACTAAAAATTGCAGAGTTCATTTGTTCTATTTGCCTTTTAGCCCAACAGTGTAAAATGGTAATACTTTTCCATCATTTTATTGGTCACGACGCTCTGAGCACATTCCCTTTCGGATCAATAGATGTCTGCTTTTTTCTGAGATGGAACAGCCGTGCAGAATTGATTGAGGCTAAATGTGCGATGTGCAGACGTTTTTGTACACGAGGCTGCGTTTGATCTAGTATTGACGTCTTTTATCATGGCGTATTAGCACAGTGTATCCATAACCCAATGCCACACCATAATCAGACAGTGTTTATTGCAGAGGTCTGTGGAGAGACCTGCAGGAGCCATTAGTGAGACCGCTCACCTGGGGAGGACCACACACTCTGTGCAGGAAACACTGCATGGAAGTACATTTAACTCTCATTATTGACCAATTTACTCTCTGTCAGCTCTAAGCAATGCAAAACTCCCCACACTTTTCAGCATTTCTTATTTAAGTGGATGAAATTACCCTTTGTACCTAAGCACAAAGTAGAGCGGGTTATATAACTTAATTTAAAGACATAACTACAACACATTGGACACATTGGTTTTATTTAGGTGGTAAAGCAGTTATTCTTACTGTCTCTCAGTAACTTTCCTGGTGAATACATGTGAGTTTACAACATTAGATGGATTTATCATTATTATCCAGAGTACCACATAAGTTCTGTTTTTAAATTTTGGCCCATTTTTGGTGACAAATGAAGGTCTGAAACAGGCAGGTTCTCACCTCAAAGAAGAGTCAAACAGAGCTTTTGCAGTGACTCATTATTTGTGTGGATGGTGAGGATGGGGACGTGACACTTTATTTTTCCCACATTTATGTCACACATGTGACATGTTGGAGTGGGTATGTTCACAGTCTCCTTTCAGCTGTTTCCTACAACAAGTGGATTTTGTCAAGAGGTGTCAGAGGTTTATCTTTCACCTTCGTGCTCCTTTGGCCTCAGAGACAAATGTCTGTGT